TGTGGCAGTTACATAATCTCCTGTCAACTTGAGCAAAAGCCTGTCAATCAGGTCATCGCCAATGATGACTATGTGGGCATGTCCTTCTCCTGAGCATTCTGGGAACTCCTGTCTTCCTCCCTGCCAGCGGGAGACACTCTCTCTAGGTCTTCCCTTTCCTGCTGTTGAGACACTCAGAGACCTGGAGAAGACTCATGGAGACCTGCACCAGGATTGAGATGCTTCCACTGCCACTGGATCCACAAAACTTTCTACCCACTGGCCTGTGATATTCCTGTATTCGGCATCATTGCATGGGCTGTATGAATCTAAAGAGGAATTTATGGACTAGTAACGGACATATGGGTTTATATCGGACCTAGGAACTTGATCTGTTCTGGGCTGGGATGTTTTCTCAATATACAATTGCTTGCTGACATAAATTTCTTTCCTATACACACACAAAAAAAGAGAATATTGAAAGTACCATAGACTTCCCAAAGAACCAACAAATCTGCCTTGAAAATCTGCCCCTAAAAGGCAAAGATGGCTAGACTTTGTCTCAAATACTTTGGACATGTTGTCAGGAGAGACCAGTCCCTACTACATCATGTTCAGGAAGAAGAAGAAGAAGACCATCCACAAAGTGGATTGACATAATGGCTGCATCAATGGGTTTAAGGATAGGAACAATTGTGAGGACGGTGCAGTGTTGTGTTTCCTTCTGTTGTTCCTAAGGTTGTTATAAGTCAGACCCAACTCAAGTGCACCTAACAACCACAACATACCTTGAACAGGATCTCTGGTGGTGTATTGGATTATAGGTTGAGGTGCTAACCACATGCTCAGCAGTTTGAGTCCCCCAACCACTATGTGGGAGAAAAATGAGGCTTTCTGCTCCCATAGAGATTTTTAACCTCAGAAACCCACCTGGGTCACTATAAGTTAGAATCATTAATTTGATGGCAGTGAGTGACACCTTAATCATATTCAGTGGCATTGCTCTTACAGATCAGAGAAAGAAAACCTAGATCCTAATGGTGGTTCAAAGGTAAACTTTTCCATGCCAGAGACTGAGGTTCTATTCCTGGTCAATGTACTCCATATGAATCCATTGAATGCCTGGCAGTAGAGACTTACATATAGCAATGATGCTGAACAAGTTTCAGCAGAGCGTCCAGAATAAGAGAGACTAGGTGAGTGGTGATGGTTGTAGGAGGGGGGCGAACCTGGCAATCAATTGCTGAAATCAGCTGGCTGATCCATAGCCAACCTTGGGGGCAGTGCTGAGTCAGGTAGCCCTTCAGTGCCGTCCATGAGGTCGCCATGATAAGAACCATTGTGAGGATGGTGAAGGACCAGGCAGTGTTGTGTTTCGTTTGGTTGAACATAAGGTTGTTATAAGTCAGAGCCAACTAAGGGCCCTAACAATCCCAACATACCTTGAACATGAGTTGGGGTCCACTTAATAGCAGCCAACAACAATAAGCAAGAAAATCATGATGCAAATGAAAAAAAAAACAACCTTCCAAAATTTAGAATGAAGAAAGGACTCTCAGGGAAGTCATCAAGAAAACAGAACCATTGAACTTCCTTGACGTCAGCTCTAATCATGACCAGTAAGAGAAAGAGGGGCTGGGGTGGGGGGCTCTGAGCATGCCCTGCCTTTCCAGTAGAGCTGGCTACTCAGCAGCCTCATCCCAAATCCATATTTCTTTAAGCCTTTCCAGAAGTTGCGACCATTCCATTCCATACTTCTACAGTGTCCCTATGCATCCAGATTATTAAGCAGATTACCACGTGAGATCACTTATGCCACTGTGGTGTTTTATGGCTGCTTAGTTATGAGCATCTTCTCCCTGGAGAAATGAAATCTTCTGACTCAGAAGGAACCAGTGTGCTCTGTGTGCTAGGTTGTCCGGGATGAATTCATTGAGTGCAAACTGCTGAAAAGGTTTTTCTTAGAGACCTGACCCCGGTTCTGGCCTAGAGCTCCTAGGAGGGTCCTCAGTAGGCAGAAAAGGGATTCTGTGGGAGAGTGTGGGAAAGCCCACTGACAGCTGACTCTGCTGTTCCTCTGCCCCACGCCCCCAGGCTCCTGTGACCCTTCTGCCCATGGGAGCCTCAGATAACTGCATGTCAAAGGATCTATGGTGTTATTTGAGGTTGTGTCAGGTAATATTTAGACCCCAAAGGTTGTATACCACATAATCCCAACTCGGGAAAATGCGTATTGAAAAGGATGCATACAAATGCCACCCCCACCCCCACCCCACCTCCAAGGGGGACCAACAACAGAAACGTGGGTAAAGGGAGACAGCAGTCGGTGTAAGAGATGAAAATAATAATAATTTATAAATTAAAGGGTTCATGGGGAGAGGGGAAGAAGTAAAAAAATGAGGAGCTAAAGTAGAAAGAAAATGTTTTGAAAGGAAGATGACAACATATGTACAAATGGCTTGACACAATGGACATAGAGACTGTTATAAGAGCTGTAAGAGCCCCCAGTAAAATGATTTTTCAAATTAAAATGAAAGGGTGGATACAAAACTTGGCAAGGAAAAGCCATATAGGGGTATGGCTTTAAAAGTGGAGGAAGTTGACTTGTAATCATAACTGATATAAAAGGCTAATTGGAATATTTGTTATTCCTAAAAAATCTCTGCTGTGTCTCAGAACTTCTACACAAATCCCAGCTAGAAATCCTTTTTTCACTGGACTACCCCATCCCTGCAAGTAGGTCCCCCCCCACCCCACCCCGCCGCCGCCACAGTCTTGCAGTCTTGTGTGTGTACTTGCCTCTTTGCCTCAGCAGGGGAGGACCAACCTTCTCAGTGAGCATGAGCTGCAAGCCACCCACTGACTTCTAGATGCTCAAAGACTTGATGGGGATTTCTCTGAGAGCTGTTGTTTTGCTGGGTCTAAGTCCCTGCATTCTCTCACATATACTCACCACCACCCCTCAGATATCATGGACCATGTCAGATTACAGGCCTTTTATATTGTCACATTAAGACTTTAGAATCTACTCTTTCTATCAGCATTATTCTTTAACCCACAGATAAATAACATGCTTTACATCAAATAAACTTATAACATTGTCCTCATTTTTCTGATTGCACCAAAAACCACTGACCTGTACTTAGAAACCATGTCCCTAGAGTGAGTGTTCCAAGGATTACTGTTGCTAGATGGGTTTTAAAACCTTAATAATCGGGCTGATTTTCCCTACAGGTTATAACATCTATGTCATAAGTCTTAAAAAGCTTAGGGATGGGATCGGAAAAGGACTGAGGAAGTGGCTGTAACAATCACCAGGAGTCAACCCATGGCTCTGCGGGGGACAACACCAGAGACACAGTGTGGGAATTGCACCCGATCTGATCCTGCCACACTGAGGCAAAGCAATGGGGGAGGGCAGTGGAACAGCAGGGGAGGGGAGCAGCAAGATCCCCAGGGAATGATGAGGGTGGACTTTGGGGACAGGACGTGGTGCCCCAACA